GACATCCAACTAACAGTTGTAGTTCCAACAGTGAATACATAGCCGGTGGTGCTTCTTTGGTGATCGACTTAGCCGCCGAAGTCTGCATCTACGTACCCTTGCACTTCTACCTCTCCCTTACCAAAGTGCAAACACTTCTATGTGGTGCCTCATAGATACCTCAGAATCCACTTGACCGCTTCCCAATGAGCTTTTCCTGGATTCGACATAAACCGGCTGACCACTCCCACTGCATGGCCAATATCTGGTCTCGTACAGACCATTGCGTACATCAAACTTCCGATAGCTGAGGCGTAAGGGACCTGAGCCATACTCTCTTTCTCTTCTTCTGACTGAGTAGACTGATCTTTCGATAGGCGAAAATGGCTAGCCAAAGGTGTGCTCACTGGCTTGGCGTCGCCCATGTTGAATCTCTGCAAAACACGGTTGATGTACTCCGTCTGAGATAACTGCAAAAGACCTCTCTTCTTATCTCTCGTGATTTGCATTCCAATGATCTTCTTCGCTAGACCCAAGTCCTTCATGTCAAACACCTTTGACAGCTGCTGCTTCAAACTCCTGATATCCTCCATATCTGCTCCTGCAACCAACATATCATCAACATACAGCAGTAGGATGATATAACTGGACTGATATCTTTTGAAGTAGCAACAGTGATCGGTGTTGCACTTCTGAAAACCTTCCTTGTGCATGAAGCCGTCAAACTTCTTATACCACTGTCTTAGGACTTGTTTCAGGCCATACAAGCTCTTCTTGCGTCTGCACACCAGGTTCTTCTTTTTTTCTGAGAAACCTTCTGGTTGGTGCATGTATATCTCCTCTTCTAGATCTCCGTGAAGCAGTGTTTTAAATATCGGCGATTTATCGGCAATTATCGCCGATTTATCGGATTTTTCACCTTGCCGATAGGATAACGTGATTTTGTAGTCGGTTATCGTTTTGGACAAATTATCGGCAATAAATCGCCGATAACGAATAATATCGCCCGATAATGTTGATTTTTTTATCGGGTTTATCGGCTGATGATTTGAGTTAGGATTGTTGAGAATTTAAACCCAACCCGACCTGTTTTCACAATAAAACGCAAAACTCAAACCCCGTTCGACAATCCAGACCTCAAGCCCTAAATTTTCGTCGCCTCTTCGTCGCCTTTTTCTCCAGCAAATCTTCCTCGCCTCTTCGTCGCCTCATCGTCCTCGCTTCTTCGTCGCCTTCAAGCCCTAAATCTCGTCGCCTTCAAGCCCTAAGTCTCTGGCGGCTGTTCTTCAGCGAATCTCCAGCGAACCTCGCCGTCGCCTCGACTTCGTGGAACTCTTCGTCGCCTCGACTTCGTGAATCTCCACGAACCTCGGTCTCGCCTTCGTGTCTCTAGGAACCTCGCCGTCGAATCTCCAGGTATCATCTCTTCTTCATTTCTTCCCCTCTCCTTCGTTTTTTTTGGTTTTATTGTTTTTTCTGGCTGATGTTTTCTATTTTTCTTTAAGTTTATTGTGTCTTGTTCTTTAAACAGATATTATTACCTGTGGCTGTGACTGTGAGTCTGTGACTTGTGACTTGTATTGCTGATTATTATGTTGTGAGACTTGTATAAGAAATTTCTGTTGTGAGACTTGTATAAGAAATTTGTTAAAGTTAAATGTAACTAATTTTTTTTTACTGCAACTAGTTTATAGAGACTTGTTGTGACTTGTGAGACTGTATTACTGTGACTTATTCATTTGCTTATCTCAATATAAGTTTTTTTAACTGCAACTAATTTTCAATCAATATAAGCAAATTTAATTTTAATTTTAATATAAGCAATTAATTTCAATCAATATAAGCAATATAAGAAACTTGTTAAATTTAATTTTAATTTTAATATAAGAAATTTGTATTACAGTTAACTGTTTTTTTAACTGTGACTTAATTTCAATCAATATAAGCAATTAATTTTAAGAAAATACTTGTGTGTATAAGCAAATTTAATTGTAATTACAATTAAATTTGAGCAATTAGTTTTAACTACAACTAATTTTTCAATGCAACTACTTTAGCTAATTATAAGTTTATAACTCGGTCAATAATCTCTGAGTTTCGTCGAATCAATGTTCACTCTTCACTGCGACTAATATTGATTAGTTTTACAACTTGAATCTGCAGGTAGTTTACAATTGCTATTTTAAGTTGTCTTCCTCTATTCCTTCATTCCTTGAAATCTTGATGTGATTTTGATCTCAAGTCTGCAACAAAATAGAACTGACTGATGTTAGGCATAAAATTTTATGACGTGATAAATAAATAAAATAAATATACAATTGTGCAATTGTGTTTGCTATTTTATTTTCAAACTTGTGTTCACGGTTCACTATCTCTTAAATGTTGACAGGACAATGTTTATATTTCATTAAGCATGGTTAGATTACACTTTTTAGTTATTATTATATATATACATCATCCACTATATCACTCCGATAATTACTACTTATCCCCGATATATCCCCGATTTCCGCTATCCGATAAGGATTTTGACCGTCCGATAAACCCCCGATAACCGATATTTAAAACCTTGCCGTGAAGAAACGCCGTCTTCACATTTAACTGCTCGAGATGAAGATCTTTAATTGCTATAATACTCATCACTGTCCTGATAGTATTTAGCTTCACTACGGGAACGAAAATATCGGTGTAGTCAATTCATTCCTTCTGCTGGAATCCTTTGATAACTAGCCGAGCTTTATATCTTCTGGAGCCGTCCTGCTCCTCTTTCACCCGGTACACCCATTTGTTGTGGAGTGTCTTCTTACCCGTGGGCAACTCAGCTAGTTCCCACGTCTGGTTTGAGATGAGAGACTTCATCTCATCTTTCATGGCAAGCTCCCACTTGCTCGCATCTCCACCCTGACAAGCTTCATCATAGCTTTCAGGCTCCCCTCCATCTGTCAACAACAAATAGTTCATGTATCTCCTGTTGGGCACAGGAGGCCGTGAAGATCTCCTCAAAATCGGAGCCGGTGCGTCGGGCTCTTGCGCACCATCTTGTCCAACAGGTTCTTCTGGCTGAGGACCTTCTGCATTGGGTTCTTCCGAGAGGTTACTCGGGACATCATCTGCATCTATAAATATTGACTCGCTCTCTGAGTCATCTGTCTTGTGCATGTCCTTGTACATCACCTTCTCGTTGAATATCACATCTCTGCTCCTGATCACTTTCTTATTTTCGTTGTCCCAAATGCGGTAGCCGAACTCATCTTCACCATAGCCGATGAAAGTGCATTTCTTTGACTTGGGATCAAATTTATTCCTACCTTGATCACTAATATGCACGTAAGCTACACAACCGAAAACTTTGAGATGTGAGAATTTTACCTCCTTTTCGTACCATACCTCCTCTGGTATTCTGTGCTCCAATGGAACCGATGGACCTCGGTTGATCAAGTAAGCTGTTGTGTTGACCGCTTCTGCCCAGAACTGTTTCGATAGGCCTGACTATACCCGAATGCTTCTGACTCTCTCTGTCAATGTTCGATTCATCCGCTTAGTTACACCATTTTGCTGAGGCACGATTCTCTCCATTCTGATCTCATGCTCATAGCAGAACTTATTGAATCCGGTGTCTTCATACTCACCGCTATTGTCAGTCCTGAGTTTCTTTATTCTCAGACCGGTCTCATTCTCGACCATAGCTTTCCATCTCCTGAAAGCTTCAAACACTTCTGACTTATGCTTCAGAAAGTAGACCCACACTTTCCGAGAGTGATCATCGATAAAAGTCACGAAGTAGTGTTTTCCACCAATGGACGCGGTGGTTGTTGGTCCCCAAACATCTGAGTGAACGAGCTCTAGCTTCTCTTTCCTGGGGGTTCTGCCACTTGTCTGAAAGCTGACTCTCTTCTGTTTTCCAAGTATACATTCTTCACACATATCCATCTCCACTGACTGCAGTCCTTGGAGTTTTCCCTTTATGTGCAAGATTTTCATCCCCTTCTCACTCATATGACCGAGTCTCTGGTGCCACAGCTTTGAAGTCTCATTGCCTGCTGCAACTAAGATCAAACAACGTGCATCTGCTGTCATATACATGGTACCAGTCTTCTTGCCTCGGGCAATCGTCATTGCGTCCTTTGAGATCTTCCAATCATCTCCATGAAAGGTCGTAGTGTATCCTTCGCCAGCCAACTGGCCTACGGGTATTAAGTTCTTTCTCAGGTCGGGAATATGTCTGACATCCTTCAGCTTCCATACTGACCCGTTCAACTTAATTTTCACCACACCTTTGCTCACAATAGCACACGGTTGATCATCACCAAGATATACATATCCAAGATTTCCGGGAACATACTTCTCGAAGAATTCTTTCTGAGAAGTAGCATGGAACGATGCTCCTGAATCTAACACCCAAGATTCCTCCTTGCTCTCCAAAGAGCATATCAATGCGTCGTCTCCTCCTAAGGTGGAAGTGACATTCACCTCTGCCTTCGCCTCCTTCTCCTTCTGAGCACTCTTGCACTGATTCTTGTAATGCCCAGTCTTTCCATAATTCCAACACTCGATAGCCTTCGAGCTGTTGCTTGGATTCCTTGACTTGGACCTCCTGTCCTTTGATCTACCTCTGTAGTTTGATTTGCCTCGTCCGTTTCCTCTGATTGAATTTCTACCTCTTGACTCTGTATGCAATACTGAAGAGGTTGTAGCTTCACCCGACTCTCTCCGTCGTATCTCTTCACTGAGAACCAGATCACGAACGTCGTCGAACTTCAACTTGGTGCTTCCCGACGAGCTATTCACAGCTGTGACTGTAGCGTTCCAGCTTTTTGGTAGGGAAGACAAAAGTATCAACGCCCGAACTTCCTCATCAAACTCAATTTTAACTGAACTCAATTAGGTTGTGACCGTATTGAGTTCATTGAGGTGTTGTGCTACTGACGCGCCTTCCGCCATTCTCAGATTGAATAACCGCCGCATCAAATGAACTTTGTTCGCGGCTGATGGCTTCTCATACATGTTTGAGAGTGCTGCCATAAGACCCGTCATGGTCTTCTCCTTCGCTATGTTAAACGCAACATTGCGAGTCAACGTCAATCTGATAACTCCGAGGGCTTGTCTATCTAGAAGATTCCACTTATCTGCCTTCATAGAATCTGGCTTCTTCCCCGATAGTGGTTGATACAGATTTTTCTGATACAGATAATCCTCTATCTGTATTTTCTAGAAAAATCTGAAATCTGTTCCATCAAACTTCTCAAGTCTCATTTTTCCTTCATCTGCGGTCATGACTCTCACTTGAATCTGACTTCCTCTAGATCGTTTCACGCTCTGATACCAGTTATTGGGAATTTACGCCAAAACCCCTTACGCAGCAGAAACGCAATATAGAGAAAAGTACACCAAGATTTACGAGGTTTGGCAACTGCCTACGTCCTCGGGAACCACACTGAAAATTTCTTATTAAACAACAAGAAATTACAAAGCTTGAGCCGATCTCAAACTGAGATCTCTCAGTAAATACAACGGTAACACTGTAGCTACAGTGTTCCTCTTTAATACCCCTTTAATTCCCTTCACCCCTCTTTAATTCCCTTCTTAATGTCTCCCCTCAAAACACGATTGAGAGCTGGAGAGAAACGGAACAGAGAGAGAAAGAGATCCGCCGCCAGGGGTTTCTAGAGATCGCGAGAGAGAGGGGAAGCAGCATAGGGGGCTAGGGTTTTGGGTTCCCTTTTATAAGGGAACTCTAAGGCTGGCGACAGGCTGTCGTCAGCCATGCGCGAGCTCGCCTACGACTCTGCCAGACACGAACTCGCCTAAAGTCCTTCGAGCTCGCCCGAAGTGAACACAAGCTCGTCTGTTCCAACCCGTTCGAGTTCGCCACCAAAACGCCCAAACTCGCCTGCAACGACCTCGCCCGCTCACGAGATCGCCTGCAACTCTGGATCTCGAGCTCGCCTTCAGCTCGCTTGCGTCGTCCCCTCGAGCTCGCTGGAGCTCCTCGCCTGAGCTTCATCCTCGCCTGGAGAAGCTTGCCTGCAAGGTTTGGGCTTCACCCCCAATTCAACAAAAATGATACAAAAAATCTCCAGAATCATGATTTTTTATGTATTTCCTGTGGAAGTCTTTGGATCTCTCTCATAGACTCTGAAGGGGGTGTATGAAGAAAGTCTCATAATCATCCTTTTGTACTGTTTTCTACCTCTCCTGCTTCTTTCTACCTTTCTTGATCATCTGTTGTAAGCAATTAAGAAAATAAGATAATGTGTTTAACAATAGAACTAATTGCGGATCCGCCTCCTTTCTGGCCTCTTATACTCCCTAAAAGATTTTATTAGCACTTACACCCCCTTGAATATCACAGGACTTCAATTTTTTTTGCTCTCAATTTAGAGAGAAATTTAGTCTTCTTTCCGGTTAAAGTGAGAGCAAAAGGTAATTTTTCACTGCATAATTCTCACGTGATATTTCAAACTAACTTAATAGAAAATAATGTCGTCTAGATTTCAGGGGTGTAAGAGCTAATATAATACTTTAAAGGAATGTAAGCCGCTGCACCCTCATATTACAAGGGGTGTATATGCAGTTAATCCTAAATAATATGCTTACCTGTAACCTATGCAAGTTAATGTACTCACGCATAAGCTCGTATATTGCTTTTTGCGTGCGCCTGTCAAGCTTGTCGAGCCTCTTTTGCACGTCACTTCGCAGGTCCCAATTTGGCTTCTCGGGAGCAAATTTCACAAAAGGATCCTGCATTGTGCACTGAATTAGAATAAGAGACGCATAAAAACTACAATCCATTTCTCTAATGAATTATAATATGATCGCATACAATCCTCTCAGCCATTGTGAGTGGAGCATCTACTGAATTAGAATAAGGGAGCCTCAATATTATTGTTTTTTCCTTCCACTACTTTGAGACATTCTACAGAAAAATCACAAGGAACAAACTGGAAAAAAGGCTCTAACAGACTTCTATCAAATCAGGTCGAGAGAAAACGCAAGCATAGAAGCACAATGATTGCAACTTATCATTTATAATTACAGTTGGGCAGAGATATAAGAAAACTAAATTTTCCCATCTGAAAAGAGTTCTCCCTGGTCTCATAACCTTTTACACGTGAATTCCTACAAAGTAAATA